AATATGAAGAATCGATTATAAACTGCTGGCAAGAATCAAAGCAGCAGAAAATATGAAGAATCGATTATAAACTGCTGGCAAGAATCAAAGCAGCAGAAAATATGAAGAATCGATTATAAACTGCTGGCAAGAATCAGAGCAGCAGAAAATATGAAGAATCGATTATAAACTGCTGGCAAGAACCAAAGCAGCAGAAAAAATGAAGAATCGATTATAACTGAAGAAGTAAATGAAATCTACACGACAATGAGGAAAATTCAAAAAATCATTCAAGAATGTTCAACAAATCAGTTCAGGAAGTCGATGAATAGGAGGAACTCATAGCGCGACGACCTAGAAGTCCTGCAAAACGGCGATAAAATCCAACAGAAATAAAGGACAATACTGTAAGCACCAATTCCTTTGGTCGGAAGTATCGGGCAACCAAAGCAATTTGCAACACAAAATATTTATATAATCAAGGTATCTTTGTATTTTGAAATCTAGCTATAGATATATTTTGCGTCAAATATTATTAGTTAAATAGTACGATATGTTTTACTCAATACCTCAATTCACTGTAAACTTCAAATAACTTCTTTTGTATCATCGGTTTCACCTTCAAAGGACTAGGTGATCATTAGTTAATCATTTGCTTATGTCTTGCATGTCTATTAAATGATCCTTTGTTCATATATCAAATGAGTATGTGACTTCTTTCTTCATATACTATCAATTTCGTCTATAAATAGCAGTTGTCTACTACATCAAGTGCTCACCAAGCAACACCTAACGATGGAGAGCATAGTTAGTGTAACTTGCTACATGGGGTCAGTAAGCCTCGCCATCAGCATTCTTCTGCTACGCGATTACTTATTGATCAGAATTGCAACTCAACTAGTTCTTTACCAATTTCCATCCAAACTTAGAAATCTCAATAATTAAGAAGAAACTATAATTCGTGACTATAATATTATATAATATTACCGTCAATCTTCCACGGAAAATAAACCTTTATAATAATTTTTGTCTGTGAACCAACAAGCCACTCAATCACAAACTTTCATGACAAAAGGATACATAAGCTCATTTTGCCAAGAAACATTGAAAAACGATGTACCTCCAGTACCATCAGAGGACTGTACATAAGAAACGTCGGTATGCGGAGGACTTCCCGAATGATGATGACCAATAGAGCGCATCTTACTATCAACAAAAGGAGACCGTCGTTCGCCCAAGGTATTATGGTGTTTTCCACTCTCCTTGAAGCGTAGTGGAGGAGCAGAAGGAACCGGATTGGAAGGAGGCATTGGAGCCCGAAGCATATGATCCTTTAACCATCTTTGTCTGTTGCCCATCACTAGAGTCGTCGTTGCATACGGGGAAGGATCATCCTAGAACAAATCATTAAATTTTTACGTAAGAAATGGAATAAGAATCACCGACATCTAACAATCCAGTTCACTTCATCACAAGTGATGTGGTTGTTTTGTCAGTGAGCAAAACTTTCCAAATTACAGTTTCCTAGGCTACCCTAACAAAGAAACAACTGAAAACCTTATAAGAGTTCATTATTACCGTTATATAAAAGGTGTAATTTGCAACAAAAGAATATATATAATATAGAGAACTGAGCCATGACTAACCAGGACTTGATGACCACCATAGAATGTTGATAAACTGGATGCACCGCCAGCAGTAAGTGCAGCATAATGATAATGGTTAGGTGACTGAGCTCGATCCATAGTCCCCAGCATATGTGCCGACGCATCACGATGTAATATTTGGCCATCCAGATAAAAATCGGTTTGATGCGGAGTTTGTGTATAAATTGGCGGCCCGTTACAATGTGCACCGTTTAAGGAACTATTTAAAAGGGAACGTTGTGCTGAATTAAAATTCGGATGATCCATCCATAAGGCATCTCGCGCTGTTAGATGAACACTGCCATCGTTTATTTTAATAAATGGCATACCTAATCGAGCTGAAAATCAAAAGTGCGTCCATTAAAACGAAAATCTATTATAGAATAGTATTTTATAATTGGTGCTACTTGTTTTTTGCAAATTAAACTAATGCTATAGTCAGTAGCCCACATTTTTCACTCAAGAACTAAATCTCATTCTAGAAAAAGTTAAAAGCTAGCAGAAAGATTGGGACCAAACTGAGTATGAATTTTTCAACTAGTTTAAATATGTGTAACAGAAAATTCGAATAAAACAGTTACAGAAGTTATATTCATTCCATTTAATAATAACAGGGGAAAGAGAATTCAGAAGAAACAACGGAAACAAACCAGCAGCTTTACCCTTCGATTTTCGCCATCTCCACCATATAAAAGTGATGAGGGCGATGAATGTAATCCATATTAATACGCCAGCAGTAGCAATAAACCAAGGTCTTTTGATAATATGTAGCAAACGATCACTAGACGAAATTCCACTCATTAACTGAATGTGTTCCCGCAGTGTTGCTTCATCTGAATATAAAAACTATGTTTTTTCTTACTTCATGAAAAAAATTTCAACAATATATCGTAATTCAAAATTAAAGTCTTCGCTCTTTTCCAGCATCAAATAGCTTACTCATGGTGACAGCTTCAAGGCCATGATAAACTCCAACACCAGCGTTACTTCGTGCTGCAACTTTAACTCCATAAGTCATCTCAGGTATCAGATGAAATAACGTAACGCTTGCTGCACGTTCATTTGTTGTAATGTTTCGATTATATTTAGCACCACTACCTAGCACGATAATCTGAAAGCAAAAAATTGCTTTATGCCAACCAGAACAAACAATGAACTATAAAAAAAATCGAAAATCTGGAACTAACCTGGAAACCCTTTAGAATTCCATTTATTCCATCCGCAGGTGGTGGACGCCACGAAATTCTTAACGTCGTTAAATTCATCATTCGAACACGTACATCTGTTGGAGGTGAAGTAGGTGCTGCAATTATTGCAAGGATGATAACGTCTGACTTCAATATTGAACTGAATAATTGAGTATTTAAAAATGAAATACAAGAACCATGTTTTCAGTTGCACATCAACTAATAATTAATATGGATCGTACTACTTCATGACTACTTTACTTTTTTGACACTCCTCTGCTTTTCAAACTCATCTTGGTTAATAAGTGCAAGCGGTGCTTATTTCAGAGTTTTTTCTAAAATTTCTTGCATTATTTCGAAAGTAATGGTTAAATGCATTTTTAACTATATGGCTTCTTTTCTAAACACTTATCAATTAATTAGACAAAAATGATATTTTATGTAACATATTTATCATTCTAGATCATAAAGGATATTTTGTTTAAAAATTGATCAATAAGCAAACACTACTGTTCTCACATTCTTTTATAACAAATAACAAGTACAATACAAAACTTACATGCTTCGCTAGTAGCTCCATTCAACGAGTTACTCGGCATACCCTGAACGGTTTTGTGATATGGAATCACAAAAAATTCGTAATTTTTAAAAGGACGTAAACCATTCACAATGTAAGTATCAACGTTTGGTTTGGAAATATTCACCCAGTGGCTGTCGATGCCACTAGTCCCAGCCTGTTTCTGACCTGATGTTGTTGGTACTGCTCTCCACTTGATATAATAACCTTCCACTAATGGTTCATTTCTTCGACGCTGAAATTTGATATGATGTAAAAAACATATTTCCTTTTCTTTTTACATAAGAACAAAATGTTTCCTTCTCGTTTTATATAAGAACAATAAATATTTTAGTCTCGTTTATCATCACTAAATCATGATCGAATTATTGCCTAATACTGATAACGAAGGATAATAATTTCTCTGAATTCAACGAAGATCTCCTCATGCTATAATACTGCATTTACACACACTTTCTCACTGAGGGATTTTTATTTTAATCCACTTATTGGCTAATTATCGACGGTTCCAAAACAATTACATCATTGAGATACAATTAAATTTTACCTTCCAACTCAATTTCACAGCCGTAGCATTGACAGTTGTTGCTTCATCTAATTTGATTAGCTGTTCTGAAGCAATCCGTTCCCGAGCAGTGTCTAAATCCATATCCTCATTTGTCATTTCACGTTCGTCTAAAAGTTTTGTCACACCTTATCATACTTCAGCAAATTATAATGTATACAAGTGCTTCAAAAATGATTATGACAAAGCTCTTTTTTTCCAGCCTCCCTTTTTATCAAACTCCGCATAAACTTTTAAATATTTGTTGTCTACCATTTTTTCCAAAAAATTATGAGTCACTGGTTTGCTTATGTTCTTGAGAATAAAACTTCAATTCAATACATCAAAATTCTCAGAAAAAGTAACAATTTCTGCAATTCAGTCGTCGTTACTAAATTAATGTCTTTTCTTAACAAGTACTTACTTTGCTCCTTCTGCGGCTTAGTTTGAATAGCATCACTCATTGGCGATGGTGGACCAATACCTTCAGAATTTTCTGCACGAACGATGAAAACGTATGAATGTGAAGATTTTAAGTTCCTTAGATGATATCTCGGACCAGAAATGTAGTCAGGGACATTAAACCAGGTCTAAAAAAAATTTCGGATTTTAACCACAAACTATGCCATCTGTGAAAGCGAAATTTAACTATAGCAATCAATGGTAAACGATAATAACTAATCTTTCATTTGTAAAGAAACGAAAAACCTACTTGGCCCATTTCTGGACTGAAATACTGTAAAAGATAGCCATTAACCGAAGCAACGCCACTCCTTTCTGGAACAGACCATTCCAGATCAACGCTATCTTCAGTAACATTTTGCAGCAACGGTTTGCCCGGTGCAGATGGGAAAGCAGATAAGTTTGGCATACGAGTAAATGTAACCGATGGATTGGTGTGTTCTGTAAATTATATGCAACCAGTCTGATACGATATAAACACAACAACAGTTGGCATAGAATCAAACAACAGGAAGTAATTTAGATGCCAGTTGTCTTTGCTACTTTTCTTCTAAATCTTCAGTTGCACATAAGACTTTAACAAAAAACCTTGAAAAGATCATAACCTTCAACGACTAGAGATGCCGTCCATGTGGATTCACCATCCTGATTACGCGCTCGACATGTATAAACACCGGTATCACTCTTCCTGCAAATGTGTTTCAAACTTTGCTCCTAACTTGAAAAATTTGTTAGCTCACTTGTAAAAATGTTTTCACCATAAAATAAAACAACAAATGTACATACTGAATTATGCAAATTGTGCTTTAAATTAATTACTGTTTAAACAATTGCACTGCTATAGCTCAATAGGTCTAAACTAATGAAAAAGAAAAAAATCTATTTACAAGTCAATGACAATGTTATACCGCAGTAACGATTTAATCAAAATATTCCTTACTTTAACTCATCAATCTGCAATGATCCGGAAGAAAGTTGCCTGAAACGTGTTTCAAAGTTCGCATCTTCTAGGTCAATTTGTTCACCATTTTTTAACCAACTAATCTGAGGTATACTGCGTCCGCTTGCTGCACAAGGTAATGTTGCTGAAGCACCAACCATTAACGTTTGATTGGAATGTCCATGTTCGATAATTGGTGGCGGATATGAAGGCAATGCTGAAGGAGAAATTATACTTAAACCATAGATTATTATTAAATTGCAAGCAGTCTACACAACTAAATGTCAGATTTCTTACAAATTTGCTTTCTGCAAATAAATTCTTTCTCTATTAAAAAAAAGTAACCTTTCAATTATTCGAAATTGTTCCTTTGAATCAAATAAAAAATATTAAGTTATAATAATACATTGGAATGGGAATGATATAGGATGCTCAGAAAGCGTATAAACATGGCTTCTTTAAATATGACTTAAGTCATTAAAAAAATCCACGAATAGTTCTCTGATCCTTATCGCTAAATGCAATTTTCATGGTGCTACCAAAAGATTTGATACAATTTAGAGATCATTCAATCACACTGTGAATATTTACTGCACTGCACAGTAATCATGGTAGTGAATTGAAAAAAGCATAAATATTAACGAGGTCGAGAAGAACGACCTCGTAAATCACTATTTTAAGTCTCGTTTTCCTGCTGTGAGCTACAGATCTTGATTTACAACCAACAAAGTATGTCTGTTATAGTAAAAGGAAGTATCAAAGATTCCATACAGTTAATTCTCAACATTCACTTCTTCGCAGTACCAAAATGAAAATTACAACATCACTATACCAACAAAAGGATCCAAACTCAATACGAAAGTAAGATGCAAACTTTAGAATCCTTTTTCTTTTCTTTCTCTCAGAAGTTATATTTTATTCCTATTTATTAAAAAAAAAATCCTCGTTTATAATCCCCTTACTTCCCTTCATTTAGATCTACAAAAGTTGAAGGCCTAAGAAAATGGAATAGATGAAAAAAAAAATTACTTCCATTGAGACAATATGGCGGTCCATAAAGGCACGATAAAGAAAGCGTTGTCGTTAAACTTAGCACCGTTCCAAATACCATGATGCCGTTAAGGAACCATTCATATGAACGAAGTGGAAAAAAATTTAGCTAACGAAAACAACGATTTCTGCAGTTCGTAACAGATGAGATAATATTTATAGCAGTGATGCCGGGGTACAAGACCATGTGTGTCGGCGTTCTTAACTGCTTTTTACACGATTAGCAGCAACATCACGTCAGCTTTACAGTCACAATCAGTGCCTAAGAATTCTGAATACTTTTGAGAATGAGATGGATATACGCGTCACAGAATGAATAGTGATGATATGCGCTACGATATGAGCATTATGATGAAGATTTAAAAATTTAAAAAGAAATCTGAAAGATGTATCAAACTAGCATATGAATATTACTGATATTATTTTCTACATTGTTACTAACAGCAGAAATGATCTTAAAATGAGCAAAAAGAGCAATCGACATGTGTATTATAAACTCAATAAAGAAGAATGGTTTGAGAATAATGAATGAGTTCAATTACTTTCAACATTTACGTTAACCAAAATCAAGAGAATGAAAGAAATTTAAAAAATCTGCCGTTTGAAAGATACATACAAAGTTATATTTGTAACCTTTAAAATGATTTTCTGAATTCCTACAACAACAGATAGATTAAACTTCAGCATGAATTTATGCTTATCTATAAACATTTCATCAGCTGCCAAATTTATCATAATCAAATGAATAAAAGATAATAAAAACTCGTTGGAATGTCACTTCTTGAAGTTATTAATAATAGATTAATATTTTGAGAGGCATTGATTTAGGAACCATAATGAACATATGCTATGGGAAAGGATGAGCAAAGGTCGTGTCAGTCGTTAATACCTTTTCTTTCCATACTACCTTTTGTTCATCTCGGCTATTATATTTCTGTTAATGAAACAAATGGTCAAAATTAAGAAAAAGAAAGATGGATGTGTTGAAGCTAATTGATTTTTTCTATTTACTATCCATAATATGTACATACAATTCTTAGCTAAAATGTAACATCTTGACAAATTATTTCATCTTATCACATATTCTGACAAATTTTTTAGCAAAAATATTGAAAAAAAAAGATTTTCAATTTAATAAAATATATATGAAGATAACATTTTCAACACCTTTAATATTTTATTAATTGCTGGAAATGTTGTTGGTAATCTAAGCTCTTTTTATAAGTATTATGCTGCGAAAAATAAAATTAAAATTGATAAAGTGCAACTGTTAATCTTGCTAACATTCACTGTTGTCGTCTACTTGTAAGTTTTTTATGGTAAGAAAAAGAAAGACTATTGCTAAAAGTTTTCGTAATTCTACACATTGGACGACTAACTTGATGGCTTTGAAAAATAAAAATGAAAAATGATTTTAAGCTATTGGCAGTGGAAAAAAAAGACAATATGAAAGAGATAATATGAAAAAAAAAAACAGAGATTAAATGAGTGATAAAACAACGGATGAAAAAGTATAACAGTAATATTTAAGGGAAGATATGAAAGAAAAAATATAACATAAAAGTGAAAGAACAGTTTCTTAAAGCAGAATATCGTTGAATTTAAACATGAAAAAGCAAGAAAAAAAAGCGGATGAGTTTAACAACAATTTCCTGACAAGCGACAATGGTTCGTAAGGGGAAAAAAAAATTTTTTTTTCTAAGTTTCATCCTTCAACAATGATAATTACAATAACCATTTCTATCTATCCGTTTTTCGCTTTTTTTTTCTTTTTTCAAAAATAATACTGCTGATAACGACCCATTAATCTTTTTCAAAGAAATAACCTTAGTGAGCAAAAGAAACGATGAAAGATTTCAATTAATCGCGGGAAAAAAATTGCTATTGCACATCTCTCAGCAGAAAGCTGTGAATGCATTGAAGATATCACAGCTGACGATTAACAACTAATCGAAAAAAAGCAGTCTAGCATAAATGAAGGTATCACAGTTGAAATCATTTTAACATAAATCACACAAATGCTATGTTAGTGAATGAAAAGATTTGTCGTAAAAAACTAAAAATATAATTCACAATGTTATGCAAAATATTATCTTTTTTTTTTAACAAATTGTAAAAATGTCAACGATTTCAGCAATATATTATTAGCTGTGAAATAGAATGTTTCCTCTACAAAAAACACATGTGACTATCAATGAAATGTTCCATCAACATTAGTTATCGTCTTCTCTTCTGTTCCTTTCCTTTTCCCGTCTATGGAAAGAAAAAAGCAAACAAGAAAAAGGAAAGGAAAAATTAATAAAAAGGAAAACGAATCACTGTTGGTTGACATTAAATATGAGAGGATGCATGAAAGATATTAGCACTGAAATTAATATTTAAAAAAAAAATACATAAATAATGAAAATAATTCCAGAAGATATTATCAATAAAAATTTCATCAACAATTTCAAAATTAAAAGAGAATGATATGAAATTTTACTATAAATTGCAATAGGATGCACTTTTATATAAGTTAAGCATTATTCATAGTATATCAACATATCATTTATTTCATAATCGACCAATACTTATATAGCTCTCATAATGTAAGCAAAGAAATATAAATTAAAAATATTAAAAAGAAAAAGAGGGAAATATATTGCAATGAGATGAAATGAATGCTAAAAACGGGCAGCTACATCGATATCGAATCAAATGCTACGGTCTCGAGAATAAGTGAAATTATGATGATGACGAGCAATGACAGTATTTATCATCCACCAACAAATTGAATCAAAATGTATACAGCGCACGATAACTGACAACGTTTACACAATTTCTTACACCTTCTTCCAACTGAAAGCGTCCAAATGGATGTAGCGGCCACATCGAGAGGCATCATCTCTCTCATCCGATATATGTGTGTGTATACCATACACATCTATATATACATGTGTATATGTGTGTATATTATATGCGTGTATGTGTATGTGATTCGTGTGTGTGTGTGTGTGTGTGTGTGTGTGTTTGCCTGTAGAGTGTGAGTGTTCCCCTGTAGATACCAGCAAAGTGGACATCGGCAGGAAGAAAGAGTATAGGATACTTAGGTGATGGATACTTTTAATGATTATAATTAGCCGTAAAAATGGGACATATCAAAAGAAAAAAGAAAATAGGAGCGGTTGGCACTCTCTTTGCTGTATATAATCTCACCGAAACTGAAACAATGAATGGAGTGAGTGTAAAGAGTGCATCCTGAATGACCAATGGGAAAAGGAGGAAAGAAACGGAAGAAGTGAAATTATTCCTAAACGGAAGCTGCAAGTGTGACAGTGTCTCTCATTCGCCTTATCTTTCTCTCCTCGTCATTCATTGAATTGAACGATACCTGTACAAAGCAATGATGAAGGGATTCAGTGAGGTGAAATAATCTTGCAAGGTCAAACTGATATTGGTATAAACTATTGCTGAAATATGTGATATAGAAAGAGAGAGAGAGAGAGAGAGAGAGAGGGGGGGGGAGAGAAGAAAGAGAAATATTCTCTCACAATATAGCTATATTTGAAAAGGGTCAACAACAACGCGATGAAACGGAGGTGGAAGACGCTAATTTGAGTTCGATAAAGAAGAAAATTGATGTAAAGAGGAGTGAAAGAGGAGAGTAATTTACCACATATTTCGTTACCTTCAACGTATGGTACTCATGAATATGACGATGCGATCATCTTCCTCCTATTGGTAAGCGTCGAATGATTAACGTTGACCAGGTCGTCAAGTAATTTGACACCCGTCATAAATGCTCATTTATAGTCATGTAAATAGCCAAGCGACACACAAATTATCTCTCCCAATCATCAGTTAATACCAAATGCCTGACTGGTCATTTATGCTTATTATGCTGAAACTCAAACCATATCCGCACATTATCATCTGATTTTCGTCGCATAAATAACTCATCAATCAATCTACCATTCTACCATTCTATACTATGGAAAATAAAAGAGTAATGTCCCATAAACTGACTATTAGTGGAATAAAAGATTCATTCGTAAACTGAAACATTATTTCGTTACGGCATGTAAATTGACCTCTGATCCTTTCAAGCAGTTTCAGATTTCACAGAAACCATAACAGCTTTTGCACCTGTTTACTGCAGACATAATTAATCGCAACTGCCGAATAATCAAAAATGAAATGCATTAAATACTTGAAATTTGCATCTGTAATTTATATATTGTTAAGCCGTAAAAGAAGGAAATATTATTGCTGTCGATGATGCTACTATAATAAATAATCACATGCTCTCTGACCTTTCGAGCCCTTTCTCTTTCCCTATCAAATTTCCGTTAATCTTCACCCTCAACGTTGTTTCAATTTATTAAATGATTTCAAAACACTGTCCAATACTGAATATCATTGATATAAATAAATAGTTTGTAAACTATTCATCTATCTAATTTCCCTTGCTGTGTGACTTTACAAGTCTCCTAACATATAAATATATAATAACGTTGTTTGAATAATGCTTTTTTTTTTCTCGATGATGTGAATGTTGACATTTGGTGCAATTTACAGAGCAATTATCTGTTTATGAGGAATTTGTACAATTGTGAAATGAAATGAATCAGGAGATGAGCATGTTTTTGAATGTTTACATTTTGAAGAGCAATTTTCTCAAAAATTTTTTCGAACCTATCATCATTTTTTTGGATCTATGAATTACTCAAGCTTTTTTTTTCACTCATTTTTAGCATTAAAAACACTTGCAAGTAGTATAGCAACTTCAGTTTCCGAATCTGAGTCTTTCCAAAATAAAACTAGGTATACGACAAAATTTTGCAAAATTTATATTTTCTAAAAGAAATTACCATGACGTTGCAAGTTTAAATGAGATGTTTGAAGAAAATAATTATATCATTGAAATTACTAAGCCAAAACATAATCATTCGTATCTTTTTTAGTTCGAATAAGTAGATACGTCTCGGAAAATTTTAACTTAACTGTTTCAATATCTGTTTCATTATGTTTTTTTTAATCCTTCTTAGTAATTAGTTGTAGTATTATTGAGTTCATGTCTAGTGCTCATAAAACTAATCAACTTGACCAACATAAATATACGAAATAACATTGTAAAATTCAGTTTAAGCTCCCTTTTAACCATGATGATAGAGTGAAAAATGACCAAATTAATGATTACTATAAGCTAATGATACACATCTTATGAAACAATGAGTTGAATTAATGAAATACCCCTTTTCACAGGTGACAAGCAGCATTGTGCAGTTTCCGCTTAATCAATTTCTGAAACTCAGATAAACCGTACACTAGCTATGTTTGCTAATTAAAGAGAGTCAATGCTAACATTCATAAACGGAAGAAATAATTTTCATAGTCTGTTGACTACTCATCAAGTAAACAATTGTTGACACAACTGCCTAAACGATTGGAACAATCTCCTCGTTAGCAATTTCAGTAAGAAACTAAAAATTATTTTCTTGTACACATCTGCCTTTAATGAATTTCTATTCTATGAAAATGAATCCAATTCTACCTATGTAATACATACAAAAATATTTTCCGAAGAAAAAATTTGAGCAATTTAATAACAACTTACAATTTTTTGGTGACATACAAAGTACATAACTTTATATTTTTCAAAAAATTTGATACGTATAAATTTTGGTACTGTTAAAAGATGTTCATAATGAAGAAAGAAAGCAATACTGATATGATAGAGAAATTCAGGTCATTAACGGTCAATAATGGATTAAAATTAAATCATAACAAAAGCAAATATATCATTTCAAGGAGAGCAGTAAGAAATCCCTGAGATTATTGGTAATGACATGATTAAAGAGATATATTGACACATAATTTATAAACAGTCTTTAATGATTCTTCAAATAAAATCTTTACACAACGATCATATTTTGCAAATACTGACATTAACTCACTGATTCTTTCACTTCTCAATAACGAAAAACCAAAACGATGTGACAAATAACCCTGAACTTTGCGATTGAAAAAAAAGCTATTGGAAAAAGTAGAATTTATCTTTTTGTTCGCATCGATCGGAGAACCACATGAAAATTTATCATTACCTCAATAACGCGATGATAACCATTAGCTTTACCAAACAGACTACATACAAAATTTCAGAAGTAGCAAAAATACACCGCAAACATTTGCTTTTCTAATTATTTGATTTTTTTTTTTTTAATTTATAGACTTTGTTAAAAACTTTCAAAAGGATGTGTGTGATATAAGAGCACAATTTATTCCCGGATTTTACAAATTCTTCCAATAAAAACTTATTTTTGTCCTTATAATTCGCAAATGTATATTAAAAGACTTCTAAAAAGACGGTATCTTTACAGAAAAAGATGATGAAATTCAAATCATTATTAAATACATGACACCGCAGCTGCAATCCTATAGCCGATAATAATGACCAACCTAACAGCATTCCAATCAATCCAGGTGGACATCAAACATCTGTGATAATAATACTATTAAATAAATCTACAAAAGAACCCATGTAATGAAGAAATTAAAAATTTGCCATAAAGAAAAAAGTGTTACCAAATGTAATGACATGTATGTGCAAAATATGAAAGTCTTTTTATTTCATTCGTTGGAAAAGCCTAGATGAACAAACATTTTTGAAAATTTCCATAAATTTTACATTTTGATTTATTTTTTTTAAATAAGATTTTCAACAAAATACAAAAAAAAATCTATTTTAATTCCTATTAAGCGTAAAACACCTATTAATAAACTAACAAATGAAATCTTTAAAGATTTTGCCATGAACGAAAATTCTAACTAAATTCTTGTAGTTTTTATTAGATACGATTAGTAACATTGTTTTATTAAGTCTCTACAATATTGGTAATCACTGAAACAGTTATTACTTCTCACACTTTTATGTAACTTCTTATGATAAAGATTATAAGAAAGGTAGTCCTTAGCTTTGAACACACAGTAAACAATGTGCTAACAGCTAACGACACAGCTAATGTCGAAGAGAAAACATATAGTTAGAGAGAGCCAACTTCATACTGTTCCAAGTACCGCTAATAAACAGAAATGATGGAGAAAAATATTAAGACTCAAGGAGAGGAGAGAAAGAGGAAATGGCACTGATAAAGAGGGAATTTTGTCATATAGAACTATAAATATCTATTAGGGAATAGATCGGGTACATTTCTTTGGAACAAGAAGAATTGTTATCCGACAAATATTGTATCAAATTTATTTGCTATCCGACAAATATTGTATCAAATTTATTTGCTGTCCGACAAATACTGTATCAAAACCATTTCCTATCTGTTGCAACGAGACTTCCGTACTGTATAATATGCTGCAGCAGTGAGGGATAGAAGAAAATTCTTGAAAATATTCAAATCTTTCATTTCCATATCAAATTTTCCTAGGAAGACATAATTATCAAGAAAATTTATTTATTAAATGCATCGTATTTTTAACCAATAATAATGTGCTCTTTTATCAAATACAACCGCTTATCAGATTGCTGAATGAAATTTACGGTGTCAACCAACAGACTGTTTCATCTAATCAAACAATATCTGATAGCTGTTATCAGTCTTTTAAATAAAAATAAAAGTCAGATTTGAATTGCCTGTTGTTAAATAGTGATATTAAAATCAACAACTCTTATAACTTTCAGAAAATCCAATCCTGATTTATCTTATTCTAAGAATATTCATGAAATAGACATGAATAACGAATATAAGATTAAAAAATGCAGTGTTCAAAAGATTAAAATGATGTAGGCAACTTAAATTTATCCAGAAAATATCCTATTACTGCTTGACACACCTATATTAGCCACCATAATCCATGTTATGATAAGCAGAAGACTATTCAAGCATAAATTTTTCTTCATATAGTTATACAAGACTTACTTTTACTCGTTACTTTTAGTGCAGCTTTGGTGAGACTACTTCCCGCTAGATTCATTGCAGCACATACATAATTGCCTTCGTCAGCAGGTCTTACATCCGCAACGGTAAGATCACCATCAAAAGTCACTTTTATTCTTCCGTCTGAAGATATGTGACCCGGAAAGAATACCTCCTAAAAATAAAAACAACAGTATTTTTTAAATCTTTGAATTTCAAGTGCATACTTTACTTCTAAATATAAATCAATCGATTGCGAAGAAAAAAACAATCTATAATAAATAATTAAAGACAAAAAACATTAATTTTATATATATTATTTCGATTAATTCTATACAAGTGAAAAAAGCATTAAACCTGTTGGCCTTCTCTTGACCAAAATAACGCTGGTTGAGGCTGACCTTCTGCTTCACACCGGAATTTTGCAGTAGAACCAGAATCAACAAGTACATCACGAGGAGTTTTTGTAAAAGATGGAGCAGCATGTACACTTAGCAAAGCTGATGTTTCTATGCTTCCGGCTGGATTTTTCGCCTGACAAATATATTCTCCAGCGTCATTTGGCTGAACTCTAAAAAAAAACACACACACACACACACATATTATCGTAAAAGGCTTATTCAAAAATTTAGTAAAAAAAAGAATGACAGTTTACACTTTATGAAATTTGAAGTTCATACTGGAATATGAGAAATAACGATGAAGTAACGATAAATTAACAATGAAATATGACTGAACAAAAGGTATAATATTTTTTCTAATAGAAATTTTACACACTTATCAATGCGTAATCCACGATTGTCCGATGCGATATAGGCTCGGCCAACGGGCATTTGTTGATTTCTTTTCTTCCACGATATTGAAGGCATCGGATCACCAGAAACACGACAGTCGAACAGTACCGATGAGCCTACTTCGACCGTCAAGTTTTCTGGCTTTTGCTAGAATATAAATACCATTTATAGTATAGGGAACAAAAGTTCTTTATTGCTTATTACATGAAGAGAAATTTGATCAGAAAAATGAATGTTTTCACTTTAAAAGTACTAATGGAAGCAAGTTCATGTTATATGCCATATAACCGGTGCTGAATGTATTCCTTCTTGATGCTATTAAAACGGTTAAGTACGTACGTCAAAAGTACTTATCTTTCTTTCAATAAGAATTTTAAATTTAACAATTACTGTCATGACTATGACGTATACCATCACGTCAGAGTAAACAAAGCCGCTTATATTCATTCTCTGCGATATCATTTGTTGTTAATGGTTTTTAATGTTAATGTTAAACTATTAAAGGAAGGGATAAAGTATCCAGATGATTAGAATTTCTTGCATAATTGTGATTACCACTAGTATAAACGTACTAAAAAATAAGGTTTTTCATATACAGATAAGCGTGCTGGATTCGATACTTTTTCACCAACCATATTTGTTGCCACACACTGATAAAAACCTGCATCAGATCGTTGCACCTGAAGATGCAAAAATTAAGCAAGAATTTCATTTAATCACCTTGTAATTTACTGAACTATTCGATTTCCTGATTTCATTTTCGTTTCCTTTTATTTATTCAAAAACTGCAGTGTATCGTATAGGATTTTAAATTTGTGGTCACCTTTTCGATAACGAGATTACCACTTGGATGTAGCACAATACCATCCTCATCCTGAGGACGTAAGTCCCGTTCATCTTTACGCCACGAGACAACTGGTTCTGGGAAACCGCGTGGCGGAGAACATTCTAAAACTGCTCTGTTACCAATCACTGCCTGTAAATATACATATACTACGAATGATCTACGAATGACCAATTAAGTATAATATCAGGTTTTTAAATAGACAATTTCCATCTAAATATTCATTAATTAATAAATTTGTTAAATTTAACAATATAAAGTTGTCTTAGCTAATAGCTATATCAGATTCCAACGAGGACCTGCGAGCTTTTTAAGTTTCTCTTTTCCAAACTACCTGTATCGGCCTTGGTCTTATCCTGAAATCATCTCGAAGCATGGCAATCTTGAGCGATGCCTCTCTTGACCATACTTCACCATATTTATTTTTTGCGACACAATAATATGTCCCCGAATCTGCGTCTTTTCCTTTACCTGAAAAAGGATCAATCAATAGACTTGCAATCAGTTGAACTGATTCTTGAAAATGATAATCTGTAAGCATTTCCAGCTACATAATAGTATAACAGAATACTGACTATATGATTTTTTTAAAAAAAAAAAAGAGATAATTCAAGGTGATAAGTCGTACATTTCATTTTGAAAGTCTCAAACATTAACATTATCCACAAATTAGAGCACTCTATAAAGTAATTATCAATAAAAAAAAAAGTGAAACTGAAATAATTCAAACACATATTCTATTACAGAAGAATGAAATTTCCTTAATGATTTATTGTAGTGAGTTTATTGTCATTTCTACAACAATATGTCAAATATAAGCAAAACAATCATCTCTAATCACCAATAAATTGTCCATTAAACTACTGAGAGTTTCTAAATTTCCTGCAAAAATAGTTTATGCCAAATATACACAAAAATAGGTACATTATTAATAAGCAAACATATATTTTACGGAGAATCTTACCATTATTAACTCGAAGTAGAAATAAAGCACCGGTATGAAGTACTAAACGATGTGAATTTTTTTCTTCATTATTTGTAATCACCGGTTCTCCATCTTTGAACCATGTAATTTGTAAATCAGGACCTTTAGCTGCACAATTTAGGGTTGCCGGTTCACCTTTAGCAACAATTACATCGAGTGGATGTTCTATTATTACTGGCATTCCATCTTCTACAAAAATAAAAAAATAAAAACAAAATAAGGGATCAAGAAATAGAATTTTGTGCCTACTATAGGAAGTTGATAAGGTAGATACTTGATAGATATATTGCCGGTCAGCCATAGCTATTCAGAGTCATCAATTAACGAGCTAAATGAATAACCCGACTTTTGGACGAGCACGAGCACATCAAATAGATTTGTTCGTCCAAAAGTCCGAGCTTTGATGCTTGTAATAGCTCTAGAATTGCTACAGTTATTCACGTTTGATAATCAACATCAAGTATACTATAGCTGCTATAATGAGCCGTTCGCGTTTTCACCATTATAAGCTTATTTGAATATAAACATGCATGGTTTAGCCTTTAAGAGAAGCATATAATCGCCGACAGAATCAATTGGGAAAATTATTGAATATGAAATTATGTCAAAGAAGTTAAATCTATTTCCTTAAAAAAATTTATTATTTTTCAATTTATAATTCATAATAATTATAAGTTGAAAAATAATAAATTTAAAATAAAGAAAAAAAAGTTTGCATGATAGTTAATATTGCTGGAAAGAAATATTTGATATTGAAGGCAAATCTATGATAATTTTAAAAGCTATGTCTTAAAAAAAAGGGGGGAGAGGGGGAGGTAGTAATAAAAAGGTAAGGAGAAATAGAAACAATGGAATTACCTCCAATAGCATTCATTTTTTATCTTTTTTTTTTAAAAAATTTTTAATAAAATTCCATTGAAAATAAACATTAACATTTACAGGTTTCATAAAAAATGAAGATTTAAGCACAAATTTCCAATAAACTTTTAATTTCCTCTTGTATGAAATCAGTTCCGAAAGTATTTCCAATGAATGTAAATTTAGGCAAGCAGGAAGAGATAAAATTGTTTTATTGCCTTTTTTTTTTCTAATGATTCTCTTTTTGTTCTGATAGACAAAATGTAATGCATAATCGTTTCAAGATGTAAAAGTTGAATTGCAATCACATTATCGTCCCACTAAACCAGTCTTCTCAGTGCAACAAGGTCACTAAAAATCATCCAACTTTCAAATACCTCTCTCTCTTCCTCTTTCTCTTCTTCTCCCTCTCTCATCCTTTATTTTATTTAAAATTTGTAATAATTTAATAGGCCAATCTATTTGAAAATAGTTAATTTACGTCGACATAAGTTACTAATTACAACAGTTATCAATTACAATAATTAACTTAGAATA